CTCTCCATATGTCTTAAGTCACGACACATTTCTCACACAATGTGTGATGTATTTCGTGACTAAATCGGCGTTTTTACGTGATTTTATTACACAAATTGTTGTTTGCATTTGCATTGACTGCTTATTTCTATTGGTGTTGTTTTGATGCCAAACGAATGCACATATGATTTGATGATAAATTGTTTTATTTAAAATATTATATCATTTTAGCGTTTCTTAATTGTGAGGTAATCATCAATGAAATTGAGAAAACTGTTAATATTTTTATTTTTATTTTATATTATTTTTATGTCCAAAATATTTCTCTTAATATTTTTCTTTATTATGAATTTCATTGATTAGTATTTAACGAGTTTTCTTCCCAATAGTGTTTTCCTGATCTGTATTATAATTTTTGTTGCATTTCAATGAGTTTTATTGTAAATTAATATGAAATTTGTTTTTAAACATACATTTTATTATATTTTTATCACGAGTTTTTTTCTCACCATATGATAGATATTTTGTATATAAATAACATATTGTGTTCTCTATTACCAAATAAATGGTGTTTTTGCGTTTACTATCAAATTAAATGATAAAATATAAAAACAATTTTAATCACATATTTCTACATAGTTACATAGATTAATATTCTACATAGATTTGCCTATTATTATTATATAACACTCAAAACGCCAATCAATTGCATGCCATAAGTGCCGGGTTTTTGGCTTAAAAGAGATTTATATCTATTTTTCTTGTATTAGAAAATTATGGTTTTGTTATATTTATAGATTATAATTAGCTTTTGGTTATTTGTATAATAAGTTTATTATGAGGAGAGAGTTGTTTTACATTTATGAAAATATGTTTACTTTATACGCAAATGTATTGCGAAATATTTGTTTTAATACATTTTGAGTGGATATGTGTTTGTTTTTTTGAACGCAAAAATATCATTAATCTATTGATAATACAGTATTTCATTGAAAATTTAGTTTAAGATTAATAATTACCTCAAAAAACACATCAAAAAATATTTTGCAAAAAATTGTTAAATAAAATTATTTAAGAAATTCAAATCACGACAAAAACCGAGAGAAAGTTTAACAACAAAACACAGAAATATATAAAACAAAACAAAAATGAATTGCAATTAATTTCTAAACTCAACGAAATTTGTCAGTCATTTATAATTACATTTGTATTCATTATATGATTTGATTTTTAATGATTTTGCTTTTTCTCATCATTTCATTCACAGGAAAGAGTTTAGTAAATACGGAAAGATATTGAAAATGGTTATAAACCAGTCGTCGGCGTACGTGACGTACTCTCGGCCGGAGGACGCGGTGGCGGCCATCAAATCGCTGAACGAAAGCACCGGTAAATCGGGTCAGAGGTCGTCGGCGGCGTCGACCGCCAGCAATGGTCAACAGCAGCCGTTGAGGGCGTCGTTGGGCACAACCAAATACTGTACTCATTGGCTCCGCAGCCAAAGCTGTCCTAAACAACCCGATTGTAAGTATTTTGGCTGTATTTATGGCTCAAACTGTTCAGTGATTTGTTGTTTAATGATTGAATTTATGTATTCATGTCTTGTATTTCTACCGTATTTTTGTTGAATGCTTTTGGCGTTTGTATTGTTTTTGGGATATTTTGTCACTTAATTTATTTCCCATTAATTGTTTTGTTTTGTCATTTCGCTAATGAATGCATTGTTTAGGATATTTTCTGATTTTATTCATTTTATTTTTTATATAATAGAAATCAATGGGAAAAATCACATTTAAAATTTGTTCACACAAAATGTTTTTAACGATTTTTATAGAGATTTATGTGATTTGTATTTTGAATATTGAATATTGCTTTTCCGTTTCGATCGACAAAAATAGTGCAAAAATTTAATTAAGTATTGATTTTCTGTGTTTACTATCAAACACAAGATTCACATAATATTGAAATTTTTCGGTGAAAACATATTTAATTTCAAAATACATAATAACATAATGTGTTTTATTTACTGCAAAATCATTATATTTATAAATACATATCAAAATTATATAATTTCTAAAGTAATCGGCATTTACTGTCTCTCAATGAATGGAAATTTTCATTTCCAATACAAAACTTTTGAAGTTATTTTGCATTCAATAGTTGTCGTAGGCTTTCATTGAATAGAAGTAGGATTTTCTCGGAAATAACATTTGTCGAGACTTTTGATATTTTCGATGAAAACATTTCAAAAATTATGTTTTCATTTCATTTGATTGTTATTTTGTGTTTTCAATTGAAGTCTTAGGAAATGATTTCTAAAGTATTTTTGAGTCTAAAACACAATCTTTGAATAGAGAGGAAAGCCTTAGAAATGGTTTTTGATTTCAATTAACAGAAAAACAAACAAAACTTCAAATAAGTTTTGAAATGAAATAAACTTTTCAACCAAATTATACAAACATTAACTTTTTGAAAAATAATCCCATAATTAGGTTTTAATTATTTATAATCTAGTAATTTAGTCACTAATGACGTGAGTGTCTGGTCTCTGTATCTGAATGTGTGGTGTGTTTAGGCACTAATGGTTGGCTGTGTTTGAGATATTGTTTTAAAAACAATCGATAAATGTTTGCTTTAGTTATACAGTACTGTGCAATGTATTCACTAATGAATTGTTTGATAACTATTTACTTAATTAATTTCAATACCTAATGAATTGAATATTAATTACTAATCACTATTTTCTCCCCCCCCCTTCACAATGGTGTATATTGTATGTGTTGTGTGGGCACAGGTATGTATTTGCACGAAATGGCCGAACCGGAGGCCTCGTTCACGAAAGAGGAGATGCAATTGGGAAAGCATACGGAATACGAGAAACGATTGATACAACACTACTTGGATCTGTTGGCCAAAGAGAAAGCGGAGAAAACTAACCGCAAGAACGCGGCCAAAGACCACACCGATAGCAACACCACAACGACAACCGCCACCACCGGTGACAAAGTGCAGAGCAAAACCATTACGATTAACAATAAGACCAAACAGAGACACCACAAGAACAACAACAACAGCCACAACCACCACAACAACACCACCGCCCATAACAATCACACCAACGGCAGCGCCGGTAGTAATGGTTTTAATGGCGAGACCAACGGTTTTGGCGACGAGTATAGCAACGATTCGGTATATTTTTGTCGCGTTTTATGACTTTAACTGTTGTTTTGTTTGCTTTTATTGTTTTAAATATCTGTTTCTTTCTTTTTGTAGATTTTAAAGCGTTTTTAACTACTTTTTAGGCATTAATTAGTGATTAAATTGTTTGAGTCGTTAATTGAGGACTTTTACTGGACTTTTCTCTCACTATTTTATTGGTTTATTTTAATTTATTTTTTCAACATTTTTCCATTTGTTTCCTAACTTTATTTATTAAACACAAATGGTTTTTGATTTTTATATTCATTTCATATTAAATTATAGAGTATTTTATATACATTTTTAATTAGTTTTTTATTTTCAATTGAAAATCTCATATACAGTATATTTTATGTTAAAAATTTTCCATTTGGATAGTTATTTGATTTGAATTAAACATTTATTTTAATGACTAAACAATTTTTACACTATTTTACAACACGTCTTTGCGTTTGAAAAGACATTAATTTAAATCACAATTTGTGTTAAACATAATTAACTAAAACTAAAACTAATGCAAAAACTAATTGACTTATTATTCAATGGTATCGGAAAACAGATGGCGAACGGAGAGAGCGGTGACAGCAACGCCGGTACCGCACAGTCGTCGTCGTCGCCGGTGACACAGGGCTGGGGAACGCCGACCACTCAGACGACCGCCGGTCGAGCGATGGTATCTTCCAACAACTCGTCCGCCAACTCGGAGTCCAATAGTTTAAGTTCGACACCGAATCAGACCTCCGGAGCCGCACAACCGTCACCACAGGAAGCGCTGGTACATCAGCTCCAGCACGGGGTACGTCTCGGCCAAACCCAACGCATACTGAGCCAAACGTACCAGAAGTCTGCCGGCGGTGGCGGCGGAGGAGCCAGTGATCTGTTCAACAGTATAGATGATAACGCAGTGGACGCACAGATAATGCAGACGATGGCCACCAAAACGGTCGATATGGACGGCGATGACAGTAACGATGACATCACAGCCAACGATGACGACGACGACGATGGTGATGATGACGACGGTCTGGACTTTGATCCCATCTCCATATCCACCCGCGGACTACAGGATCTGTTAAAAGACTCGTCGATAATGATGACCACCGGAATGGGTGCCAATTCTGGCGCCGGTGTTATCGGCCATCGACAGCAGCCCAACCATGTCTTCAACAATCAGTTAAACTCGGATCACATGTACATGTCTTCGGCGTCGCATAATCTGCCAATAGGTCCGAAACCACCACAAAACTCGATGCAAATGCCGATCCAACAAATGATGGCCAATAAATCGGTGGCTGACTATCAAAACAGTTTGTTAGCCAACAATCGACACCATATGATGAACGCGTTTAACAATCAACAAATGTCTGGATCACTATCACAGCAACAACAACAACAACAACACCTGACCCAACACCACATACATAGCCAACAACAACAACAACCCCCTCCTCTCTGGCAAACACAGCAACAAAACTCTTTACGGCAACTCTTGCCTAACGTTAACATAGCATTTAGACAACAGCCCAATGGGGCGCCCGGTATGGACACCAACGGCGGTCCCAATGCTTTAATGAACGGTTTTGCCGGCAATTTAAATACAAATAATAGTTCACAACAAATGATCCCAAATATTAGGTATGATTTGACTAAACGCTTACAATTAACTCAACTATAATTGTCTCAATTACTCCATTATCTATGCCATTAGACAACAACAGCAACAGTCTATAGCTCACCAAATGGGTGGCCAATCGATGATAAGCGGACACCCGGTGATGGCCACCACCAGCGCCGGCGTCGCCGCGAATGGCGGATCCAATGGTGTGAACGTTATGCCACAGTTTTGGACGCAATCACAGCAACAACAACAACAACACCAACAACAGAGAGAGCATATGTTTAGATTACAACAACAACAACAGCAGCAGCAACACCACCAACAGCAACAACATCACCAACAGATCCCAATGCATAGACAACACCCTTTATATCAACAACAACCACAACAGCAGAGGTTATATATGGGTCCAGTGGGTCAGCAGATGCCGGTGCCCACGGCTGGCGCCCGACAGCCGCCGCCCGGCTTTTAAAATATATACCCATTTAAGGTGTGGAGTGTGTCTCACGACGGATAAAACAGACAAACAAACAAACAGTTAATTATTATTATATTATATATAAATATTATGTAAACGATTGGCACCGAAACAAAACGTGTGGTCAATTGCCATGAGATCGGAATCCACATTAACTTTCCACTCAATTTAAACGGCGATTCAAATCACACTTTTTTTCTGCCGCCGATTCGTGTTATAATCAAAACAAATGAGTTTTTAATATTAATAATAATTTGATTGAAAATAATTAAATAATGAGTAAATAATTGTAACGGAGTTTTGCATTTGTTTTAATTCTCTTTAATATTAGGTGAGAGAGAGAAAGGGGAGAGAGAGAAGAGGAGAGTGTGAGTGAGTGAGCAATGAATTTCTAATTCAGTTTTCATAAAGTAATTCAAATTCAGTTTCTATTCATAACGACTATTAGTCTTAAAAATTAATACACGAAAAGAAATAGTGGTTTTAAAAGTGTTTTTTCTTCCATTCAAACCGTGTTTTTAAAATCGGAATTCAATTTAAGTTATTTTAACGTAACGTTTGCATCGATTGAGTGGTTATTATTATCAATGATAAGGGATTTTAACGGATTTATTAGATAAATACAATGAAAATATGTTTTCACTACACATTACACTCACTTTCAGTCGATACAAACGTGTAAACTATAATTGAAATTAAATTTTTATTAATTAAAATTGTAATGAAAATGAATTGTATAAAAGTAAATACACTTTTAAATACTATTCGCTGTTTTTTAAAACATAATAGGATTTTATTGGTAAAGCAAAAAGCAAACCAAACAATTAAAAAGTTTTTCATAAATTAATTGTAAATTAATTGTAAAAAACAATTATTATTGCTATTTATAAACACCAAAACACTTACAAAACAAAACTATTTTTCAAACATTAAGCGAATTAAACATTTGTTTTCCATAAGAGAGACAAACAAATCAATTATTTATAAATTATTTAATTGGATATTATTATCATTTTATTTAATGTTTATTATAATTAGCGTTTCATTAATTAATTATTATTTGTCGAAACAAAATGTGGAGAAAAATCATTTGTGAATTTATTTTTTAAAATACAAAACAACAAAACATTTAATTCTCTTTTTATTATAATTATTAATATTATATAAGAAAATGTATAGAATATTAACGAATCAATTAATTAACGATTAAAACAATTTGCGAGAAAATACTAATTGTTTTAAATTACAAAACTAATCATTTATTTCCATATAATTATCATAAAAGTGTGTTTGTATTAATTAATTTAGCAAAAAACAAACTAAACACCAAGTGTTAGATTACGATAAAACACATGGTCTACGTCTGTCTCAATGGGTAGACAACGGCGTCCGCCTGGAAGAGAAAGGCCCGACCCGTGCAGACAGTAGTGCAGCTCTTCTTGAAGACATCCCAACACCCGTTGGGAGCGATGAGACAATTGAGGTCCAGGCGTTTGGCGATCAGCATCTGACGCGTTTTGGACGCCACTATCTGTTGACCCAATGGTGACGAACACTCCTTCAGGTAACGGATGTCCGGCACGACTGCCCGGCGGAGAATGTATTTGCCCTCCAGATAGCCGGTCAGACCCAGTGACAGGTCCAACACCTCCCAGAATGCTATAGTTTATGTGTGTTTGTTAATTATGTTATCATGGTCATTTTTGATATTGATTTAATTAATAGTTATTTTAATTGGTGGGTACTGATATTATATTTTATTAAAGTATATTCTGTTACAACAATTATAGTTTTTTTTAATAGTTTATTAAATTATAGTTAAGATAATATCTCTAACATATTATGT